GTAATTCATGATCGAATTTTATGTAATCCATCATCGAATTTTATGTAATCCATGATCGAATTTTTTGAAAATTTGTGATTTTTTTTTTTAATCCATGATCGAATTTTTTTTTGTAATCCATGATAGAATTTTTTGAAAATTTGTGATTTTTTTTTAAATCCATGATCGATTTCTTTGAAAATTTGTTATTTTTTTTTTAATCCATATTATTCAAAGAGAAAATGAGAGAGATGATGATTCTGAGGCCACCCTATCCCAGCCATATTATTCACATATCGAGTCCCAACAGCAACAGTGTAGGGATGAGCACGAAATACTGTAAATTAAATGCTGAATGGCGGTTCATGCAGGGAAAGAACAAATCAATATTCGCATATTCATTCAAAAACATGAAAATTCTTAATGGAGTACCCTCATTTTTTATTGAATTCCTAAAAAACAATATTTATAATGAATTTTAATAATTTTTTCGAATTTTTTTTAAGCTTTATTCTCACCGATTCACCCGATTTCTGATCCGAATCACCGATTCGTCGATCTAAATCGGTTTTTTGGAAACCCGATCCGGATCACCGATCCATTTTTTAAACCATTACTTCGAATTGATGCTGGAAAAGTTTGATACATAAAGAGAGAGAGAGAGAGAAAGAGACATTGAGCGGGAGATATCAAGGTCATATCACAAGAAAGAGAAAGAGAGAGATTTCAAGGTCATATCAGAAGAAAGAGAAAGAGAGAGATTTCAAGGTCATATCTAAAGATTACATATGGATCACCCCAGCACGGTGTTAGACTTGATATCTCAACGACGAAAGGAATGGCAAAGCGTAATTGGTGTGACTCTTTGACATGAAAGCATTTGCAGTAAGCAGGGACCACATGGGATTATGCAATGAACCCACCTTATTGAAGTTTACGTGAACCTTGCTGTGCTCTCGATTCTTGAACAAAACAACCATTAGCATGGTGCACCTCTGGTCAAGGAAATCTACAAATGGGTCGTGTTATGGTACTCTTTACATATGTGTTTTTTTTTAAGGTACTTGATATTTTTAGACACTTATACCCTTAATTTGTCATGAAGTAACCTTTTTTTTTTTTTGCCTAGAGGTATGTTACCTAATTAATTATTGGTAAAGTAAAATACTTGATAGAAATCGAAGTATTTACTAATTATAGTAGAGAGTGAAATACTCAACATGACGTGTGATATCTTTCACATAGAGAAATAATTTTTTTATAGAAATATCTATCTTATCTCTTCTAAAGACAAAAAATGCTTATATTCAAGAAACTTTGTATTACAAAACAAAAGGCAATATGTTAAAAAATATTGAATACATTAAGAAAATACTGATATGTATGAGTACTCTAAGATATTTCATTACATATAAGAGTCATGAGATAGACTTGGCCTAGGAGTTTCAGTTACTTTTAGTAGAGAATAACTCATGGTACATGTGTGATAATGTAGTTCAAATAAAAAATATTTCTTACTCATATTAATGAGTATCCTAACATAATCGTTTACAAATGAAAATCATGAGATTGACATGGCCTAGGAATTTCAGTTACTTTAGTAGAGTATAGCTCATGGTAGGTGTGTGATAGTGTAGTTCAAATGAAAAGTATTTCCAAAGATATAGTTTACTAAAATTAAATATTTTTAATGTTAGATTTGAAATTGGGTAGTTGAAGACGTGTCATTGTTTGAGAATAAAGTCCCAAATAAAATTTCTCAAATGTTGTGACTCACTTTTTATCTATTATATTTCACATCTAATAGTTAAACGTGAGTGTGACCTACTCGTGTAAAAAAATAAATGGTCTTACAATATACAATCCCTATTTTTAGTAGTTCTACTTAAGCATAGCCTTTGCGCTTTTTGTAGAATTGATATTTCTATAAACGAATAATGTTTAAGAGCGGTAAGTTCAACACCCAAAAGATGGTAGCTATACCCATATGGTGTAGGGTCCTTGGTAACCCCCTGTTTGTGGAATTAGGAAACCTAAGTACTGAGATACCATCGTAGATAGTTAAGTGCAAAATAGATGAATATAACCACAAATCAAGTATAGAATACAACTAAAAGCACGCCACAATAATATAAATTTTTTATAATTCATTTCGTGGGCCTACACCTCCACGGCCTCAACGATTAAAAATCCACTATCTCAATGAATATTACAATTTTTGAGTCACAAAAAATATATTTCTATCTAAAAAAAGACAAAAATTTCACCAACCTTCCCTTCTCCACTTGCTCCTCTGACATAAGAATATCTCTAATTAATCTCATCATTGTCATCGCTACCCCACTAGTGCAAAGATTATATTGGGAGCAACGGAAAGAATTTCTCTATCTAGAAGCGGAAGTCTGGCCCATTTGGATAAGAAGAAATTATGAATTTTGGAAATTTGAAATACAAGAAAATCTTCAGATTTCCAATATCAGTGATTCTTGTCATAGATTCCTAAAATCTCTAGTTTGGATATATAATACAAGATTCATGGATTCCTTACCATCATTTTCATATCCAGTGCGTAATAACAACATTTAATATAGTTCTTCTCTTTAAAACTTAATATACTTTCTCTCTCTAAAACTCAAAATTTGGGATATTCTCTCTCTCTAAATTTTTTGAGATTGTTTTTCTCTCTAAAATTTGCAATGATTTTGCTCTAAATTGGTGATTTTTTTTTTGGATATTGATATAACTGGTGACTATGACGTTGTGTCTCTTGGTAAAGTATTTGAGGAGTTATGGAATGGTGTCTATGAGATAGAGTTGTAGGGACTTGAGGAGAATTTTAGACGTTAAAATTGTATTTCATATTCAAATTATTTCCTTTGAAATGAATAGAACTGTAACTAAACCCTTACGAAATTCAGATATTCTTTGAAGCTTAATATTTTAAATTAAAATCGTCTCGTTTTAGGGCTGAGAATCGGTTGGATCAGATCCGAATCTACCAGGATCCACATTCAAATCCGAAAAGTATACATGAGATCTGGATCGGGATCTGGACCTGATCAGATCTAAAATACTTTGATTTAGATCTAGACTCAAAAAGTGTATAGGATCTGGATCCAAATCCAGTTCCAATCGAATCCAGAAAAACTATTTTATATATTATCTTATAGCTATAAAATAATATATTACAAAGCAATACTATACAATATATATTTAAAAAATTCTATAAAATATATATTTATGCATATATAAAATAATATGTAATATTTTAATAACCAATTGTATCCGGATCAGATCCATCTATAACTAGATCCAATCCAAAATACTATTCAAATCCAAGATTTAGATCTGAATCCAACATGTCGGATCCAAATCTTGTACAGAGACCCACGTCCAAATCGAGTATGAAATTTGGATTTGGGTTGGATCGGGAAAATTCTTAGCCCAACTCCTTTACAATCAACCTTATGGCCAGCCGCACTCAATTTTTAGGGCGGTTGCCATAACATGGAGCGACAAAGTATTGGACTAGGCCTTCAATAATCCAAGTCGAGAGAGAGGGAGAACGAGAGAGATTTTAAATGGTTGCAGAACGATAAACAACAAAGGGTATTTTATTTATCTATGCTATAAATATGTGTTGCTCTTTACTCATTAAGTAATCATAACGCATAAATATAAGAGACATTCATAGTTTTGCATGCACAAATTCCAACCAACTAAACCTACGCCTTGGGGAAAAATTAAAAGAACTCAAATATATAATTGTTGCAAAAATTTCCTATCACGAATGCCGGAATCCATGCAATGAATATTTGGATCTTCAACTTGTTGGGTCTTCAAATTCATATCTCCCACATATTCCAAGGAATATAGAGAGCCATACACATTAGCAAAATCAAATACTCCAAGTGCTGGAAGAAATCTTTAAACGTTGTCCCAACTGCAAAAAATGAAAATTGAGAATTTCTGATTATTTAAATGGATAATTAAATATTAATACTATTTTATGAGATAAGGATCCACCAATAAGAAGCTGAGTTTTATGTAAATAAGGAATTAGATTACTAAACATGCAAGCAAATAATGAAGATTGAAGGACTAAATATTCTAAAATCTAATATTTGCAAGGAAAATGGGAGACAAGGAGCAACAACCGACTAATTATTTAAATAAAAATTTTCATCACATCTTTTATGTAATTTTGTTTATAATCTGAAGTGTTCAAAACCAAGGCTCGGACTCGGGACTTGAAAGGGTCTTCAGTTTGAGTCATATGTAGAGACTTGACTGAGTTTGTCAAGGACTCAGCCGAGTCTATAGTAGCAGCAATACTAAAACGTAGGAATAGGCCAAGTTTGGGCAGTTCCTACTCGATGCCTTGCCTAGTCCAAGTGATAAAGGCGAGTCGACTCGCTCGAGTTTTAAAATGCTAATTGTGTGTGTTTGTCTGAGAGAGAGAGAGAAAGAGAGAGACCAGCTGCTTGCTGTCCATCGCCTGGTGCCCCACCTGTAGAGGACATTCAGTGATTCAGATATGAGGATGCTTGTGCCTTATTACAAAAGGCTGGATTTTATTCTTTTCCTTTTTGGGTAAATATATATACAACATGAAGTCCATATATTATACATTTTCATCGGCAAACACAAAAGGTGGTAAATCAATTAATTGAAATTATCTTGGTTTTTTTTGTAAGATTTTTTTATTTGGGAATTTCTCGAGTTCTAGATGTCGACTCTTGAACAAATAGGAGTATTTTTAGTAATTGAAATCGTATAACTGGATTGAGCCAAATGACATAAAAAAAACTTTCTTGTTTAGGATTAAGAATCTGGAGCATGTTTCCCATGTTAAAAATCTTGTTCCGGTCTTAAACCAAAACAATGAGGCATTATTTATGTCATTTCTCTAGCAAGGTGGCACGACCCAAGTGAGAAATGAACCCTTGTTGTTTTTTTTGTTTTAGTATTTAATTGGTGACCTCTGTTTTGGGTTCCTTACATGAAACAAGTAGGGATACTTATATCATTCGACTCGGGGCATTTAATATGGGCCCAATTATCGAAATGTCTCTACTAATTCAGGGTTTTGCATATGCAACATGGGAAATTGGGTATTTTCAAATAAGTGTCTCGAGTGCTTCCTGGAAGAAGCACGTCATGTAAAACAAACACTACAATGGTTTTATTTATTTATTTAACCACCTTAATTATTTTTCAAAAAATTTGACCCTAATATTGTCCCTTCTTTTTATTTGCTAATGAACAACTATATATTTAGGCATATTTGGTACCATGAAAATACGTCTGGGAAAACATTTTCATGTGAAAAAGTCACTCATGTAATAAGGTGTGGGATAATTCGCTCGGACTAACTAGTGTTAAAAAGCTCCCATACCTAATTACAAGAAGGAGTTTTTTCATGTAAAAATACTTTCAAAGAAGTATTTTCATGCATACTGAATGTGCCCTTAGATATATCTTGTAAAAAAAAAAAAAAGTGCTTAGATGTAAGATATCATTTTTCTTCTTAGGGCTAGATGTAAAACATCATTAATAGCATACCGTTATTATCTGATCCAGAAGTTGATGGAGGAGGTGAAGTTGCCATTGATGGAGGAGGAGGAGGAGGAGGAGGAGGAGGTGAAGTTGCCCCGGGTCCGAACCCAATTCCCTTACAATCGGCTCCCAAAGAACCTGAAAAGCATGGAAAACTCATTTCGTTAAGATTAATTCATAACAAACGCGGCTCTCTCTCTCTCTCTCTCTCTTGCAATGCATACATACATTGTTTGAAACAAGGAAGGTTTGTTGCATTTAAGAGGTTGGCAGATCCTGGGTTGCATTCGCACATATGGCTTGTTTCATTTATCCTCACACATTTTCCTTCTCCACACGACGTGTAACTACATGCTGGAAAATTACAAAACATTCAATCTCTCAATATAACACCAAATAAATAGACAATAAGTAGTATTACACAATGCAATGGGATCTTATAGTATAAGACCATTCACTTTCTATACAAGAAGGTCAAAATTACTCATAGCCATTTGATTTGAAAACCGGAATGCATCACAAGTTTTGAAAATTTTATTTTAGATTTTGCAACCCCAAACACCCAATTTTAAATCCAATGGTCAACGATGAAACACTAGATATCGCCAAACCCAGGAAATTATAATTATTATGAAAATTGAAAAGGAAAAAAAGAATTCAAAATATAGAAAATATATTGAAGATAATAAAAGAAAATAATAGGGTTGTGGAAATTACGGTCCGATAGGTTGATTGGAGGTGGCAAGAGAGGGAAAGGGGGTGGAGGTGCAGTTTCCCCACAACTAAGGTCAAGCGTACCTGCAAGAACCATTACCAAAATACAAAGTAATGAATGAGAGAGAGAGAGAGTTTGCAGTTGGGGATGACACAAGAGAGAGAGTTGACAGTTGGAGACGAGAGAGAGAGAGAGAGAGAGAATTTACAGTTGGGGATGACACAAGGGAGAAAACCAGAAAGTGGGCCAATCTGAAGATTTTTCCATCCAGGAAAACATACACACTTAAAAGGCTCCAAAAGTTCGTTGGATTTATTGCAGGTCCCTTGAGCACAGTCCACCAATTTGCACACACCATCTACAAGAAAAAGAGAGCAAGATCAATACAACCCATTGTAAAAAACCTATCTAAAACCAGTATAAAGGGTCATAAGTCATAACCAAATCGTACAAAGCTTTTTTTTTCTCATATTTGATAGCGAGAAAAGAACCGGTCCAGAATAATTGGGAAAAGTCTCTAACGATGATAATAATAGAGTTCTCATGTACCTGTTATGGGGTTACTCTTTGAGGGATAAGAGAGGAGAACGATCTCAAAGAAAATGAGGGGAAGTAAGATGAATTTGAGAGCCATGTTGAGAGAAAATTGGGCAGTGAGCGAGAATGAATGGTCTGATTTTTTGAGAGCTATAACTGGGTAGTGAGAGAGATTGAAATGGTCCGAATTTTTGAGAGAGAATTAGGTAGTGAGACAAATAATTGGTCTGAGTTTTTTTGGTTCTAAGAGAGACAGAGGGATATTTATAGGTATTGGTGGGGTTGAATTAAACGGAGAAACCTAAGAAGAGTTTGATTGTGTTCAAGGAAAAGTCCAAAAGAAAGAACCCATCAATATTTTGATAGAATTCTAATACTAAGAGGAAACCTGGGAAAGAATTATAGTATACAAAGAAGAGAATAGATGTCCGGCCTAAATCTCAAAATTTCGTATTGAAAATCTCCTTTTTTTTGGACGGTACGCTCTTCCTCTTTTTTTTTTTTTTTTTTGTAATAGATGGTCCCCACAATTTAGAAGTTCTATCCTCACCTTTATCCAACCGTCCATTTTTTAATTGAGGGCTAAGATTGTCCCAATCACAATGTTACGTCTCTTCATTGTTTTATTTTTATTTTTATTTTCTATAAACTGTTTTAACACCAAATTTTGGACATCCATTCCTCTATTAAACTCGCACTAACAAAAAATATTTTCCATAGAATAAAATGATCAAAATACCCCTGAAAATTTTAAGGGGTATATTGGTCATTATTTTTTATCTAAAAGTTATTGTTAATATTTTTTATAGGTGCATCCCAATGAGAAGATGACACTACCAAATTTCATATTCAAAAAAATTGTATTAAAAAAACTAAAAATAAAATACTTTGAGATGCCGGATCTAAGATCAAAAGGTGAGTGACTCTCTTGATAAAAAATAGACGGTTAGAAGGTAGGGAGAGGATATAACTTCTATATTGTAGGGGGGACATAAAAAGCTTTCCCATAATAGATTATACACCAAAGGTTAAAAGCTCTTGTAGCATAGAGATCCTATGTATTATATCTTCTAACCTATAAATCAACTTTATCCACTTTGTATCATCTTTTTAGCCCAAACAATTGTAAACTAATGTTAAAAAGAGATGCCTTTCTAAACCACCTTCTCTCTCCCTCGACATATAGTTTGAAACCTTTGGTAGAAATAAAAAATAAAATTGGGTGTACAACGATATTTTTCCAAAATTCTATTGCAGATTAAATTACTCAAGATCTTCCTATAATTTGGTTATTTTCAGTTAATTTAAAGATCTAGAAATCTCTGATGATTCAAGATTGATGTCGTTGATTCTATTGCCCGATATTTTTGCTACAAAGAAATGAGGAGAGAGAGAGAGGAGAGAACGAAAGAACATGCATGAATGGTATAGAGAGAGAGAGCAGAGAGAGGTACAAGAAAAGGTAGAGAGATAGAACAAAGCTGATGGGGAACTTTAGAGCTCCGAGAAGCTGGTCGTGGTTCTGTAAGGAGATGGGAAACGATACTGGTGGTAAGCGGAATATCGTTATGGATCGAAGCTAAATTGGAAGTTCAGGGAGAGGTAAGTTCTTTCAAGATAAGAAGCAACAATTATCTACAGAACAATTTAGTCAAGAACAATGGCTTTGGATCACATAAATATCAGAGGAGGTGTCTGGACTTGAGGAGATACGAAAAGGGAAAAAACATGCTGAAAACCGAGCCTCACTTTGTTTTGGAGAATGTTAAGCTGGTCAACTAAACTAGGAAATGCGTTGGAAGATTTGAATAAGTTCCAAGATTGGGCTCCTAGAGTTTGTTTGAAGAAAGTTAGGTGATTTGCATCCTCATTATCTTTGAGAAGAAGGAAGATGCTATCAGGATTTCCAAACAGAGTTTCTGGATACTGAATGGAGTACTCCATCTCTTCCTTACTTTTCCTTATGTATTAGTCATTTGGAAATCTATCTTCTTGACAATGGACAATAAATGAATGGATTCAAGACTTCTTCCAGCAAAGCTTAAACCCACCATTTCCAAAAAGTGGTAAACATCATTGGAGAATAACAGTGGGCAGCAATCTGCAGGACTTTATGGAAAGAGAGAAATACGAGATTTTTTTAGGATAAGGCTAGGGATGTTCGACAAATTCATTCTATCTTCCTCCATGTTTTACAATGGATAAAAGCTTTGTCGGAATTCCTAAGGAGTTCTTTTACAATAACTTATGTGATTTATTGGCGAGAACTAAGGCCAAAAGTAATAAGGAACTCAACTTGGTGCCCCCCGCCGGATGTGGTGGTATAAGTTCAACTCTGATGGAAGTGTTAGGGGTGAGGATCAAAGGGCAGGCTATGGAGAATTGTTGAAAGATAGTCATAGAAATATTATATGGACATACAATGGATCTTTGCAGATGTGTGATATTAATGAGCCCAAGCTTCAAGCTATTTAAGCTTACAACAGATCAAAGATGTATTATAGTGGGAGGTGGCTCAACTAATGTAATCACCTTATGCAAGGATAAATTGATTGCTCCCTGAGTTTGGGTTCTACTGATGAATCAAATCTCTATGTACGTGAAGGGGAAAGAGGTGGTGTATCAGCATGTTAAACGTGAAAAGAAAAAGAGGGGAATCAACAACTCGAATGCCTTGGTTTCTCTTTGGTCAATCTCTTCATTTCTACTCAATCTTTTTCTTCTTCCCTTCCCTCTTCTATCCTTCATCATCTTTCTCTTCTTGTAGCTTCTCTACTTTCCTCCTTTATTTATTTTCTTTTTTGTAATCCTTTTCATGTTCACAATGAAAGGTTCAAAAGAGAGAGAGAATCCATTTGGGCTTAGGACATCTGAAGAGAGATTGAAGCTAAAAGATATTCTACTCCCTATAATATTTATTCTCCCACGAAAACTCCACGTACAACTAATTTTAGGACCCCTTAAACTTTGGGTATGTTACCTCTTCAACCCATATGTTAATCTCAATAAAAAACAATTTTTAAGAGTACCCTCTATGCACTCGAAGAAAATGATGTCTCGAGATTGAGTAGAGATTATCCAATTGTTAGATGGCGAGATTGAAGGTTTAGGAAACCCAAATTTCAATTTTTTTTTTTGACGAATAATCTTCTGGTAATTCTTACATGGTTCCCAAGATTTCAGCTCCAAAAAATCCAAGTGGGTCTTCTGACTCAAAGTGTAGAAGTAAACGGTGTTCTCGAGGGAGCATAATATACGTGCTCTTTATTGAACGCCTCATTAAATTTGTTACGCGACTTTGATTTTGTTATTTCACAATTTCGTAAAAATTTTAAAAGCTATATTTAATTAATTATTTTTTGCTTTTCAATAGGATAATGATATAATTGGTGTTTATCTTTTCTTTTCTTTTTCTTTTTTTAATATTGATATAAGGAGAAAGTTTATAAAAGGTTGTACCTTTTAAAATGATGCACCACAAAAATCCATCGAAAGAGATTGTTTTAATACTGAAAAAACCTCAAATTGATCATCTTGACGTCGAGATATATGAATATGCAAAAAAAAAACAAATTTGAGATCCAGAAATAGTGCATCTTGCAATACATATCCAGACCATTCATATTCAAGATTTTCATGCGTTTATAGATCTACTTGATTTTAATCATTTTTGGAGTTTAAAATTTTGAGATAATCCAAAAAAAAAAATTATACCAAAATTAGATATCATGATAAAATTTGGAAGTGCGCCTTAATTGCATTGTTTAAGGCTGCAACCTTATAGAAACCGCACCCTTGATATAATTGGTGACTATGATGTGTCTCTTGACGAGGTATTTGGGGAGGTATGTAATGGTTGCTTTGAGATAAGAGTTGTAAGGACTTGAAGAGAATTTTAAACGTTGAAATTGTATTTCGTATTCACATTATTTCCTTTGAAATGAATAGAATTGTAACAAAACGCTATCGAAATTCGGATATTTCTTTGAAGAATAATTTAAATCGTCTCTTTTATAGGGTTGAGAATGGGTCGGATTGGGTTTGGATTGACCGGGATAGGGATTCAGATCCGAAAAGTATATATGGGATCCATAACCAATACCCAATTGGATCAAGATCCAGATGCAAAAAGTACACATGAGATCTGGATCCCATCGAATACTCAAAAAATACTATATGTATATATATATATATAATATACGTAGCAATTTAATAACTAGATCTGATCTAGATCGGATCCACAGCACCTGGATCCGATCTGAATTAGTATTTGTATCCAAGATGTGGATCTGGATCCGACCTGTTGGATCCAAATCTTGAACCTATACTCAAATTCAAATCGGATCTTAAATTCAGGTTTCAGGTCAAACCGGGTAAATTCTTCCCAACACCTTGACAATCAACTTTATGGCCGCACTCAGGTTTTAGGGCGGTTGCTATAACATGGAGCGACAAAGTATTGGACTAGGCCTTCAATAATCCAAGTCGAGAGAGAGAGAGAGAGAGAGCGAGAGAGAGCGAGAGAGAGAGAGATTAAGGTAGAAAGATAAGCAACAAAGGAAATTTTATGTATGTATGCTATAAAATATGTGTTGCTCTTTGCTCATTAAGTAATCATAACACAAATACAAGAGACATTCATAGTTTTGCATCTTCCAATTTCATTACTAACCTGCACCTCGGGGAAAAACTTAAAAAACTAAAATGTATTCTTCATGAAAAGATTTCCTCTCTCGAATGCCATAATCCATGCAATCAATATTTGAATCTTGAACTTGCTGGGTCTTCAAATTCATATCTCCCACATATTCCAAGGAATATAGAGAGCCATACACATTAGCAAAATCAATAACACCAAGTGCTTGAATAAATCTTTAAACGTTGTCCCAACTGCAAAAATGAAAATTGAGAATTTCTAATCATTTAAATGGATAAGTAAATAGTAGTCATTTCTGATCATTTAAATGGATAATTAAATGTTACTACTATTTTATGAGATAAGGATCCACCAATAAGAATCAGAGTTTTATGTAGACATGGAATTAGAAAACTAAACACGCAAACAAATAAAGAAGATTGAAGGCCTAAATATTTTAAAATCTAATATTTCCAAGGAAAATGAGAGACAAGGAGCAACAACAAACAAATTATTTATATAATATTTGAGAAATGATCCAATGCAACAGTTGTATAATAGTATAATGCAACCACATTTCTAGAAAACCATATTTTTGTCATTTGTATGACTCCAAATTTTGCACATACATTCTCTTCATCCTCATAATCAATTCTACGGAAAAAAAAATTTCAATTTGCACCCTAGATATGGTCAAAATTAGTACCCATCCAATATTGAATCTCAACCATCCATTTGGTGAATTTCAAGATCTAAGCCTTAACAAATTCAAAATCACTTTTTTCCTTTTTAGCATTATTAATCTAATGATGATAACGCTATATAAAAACTTTGGGAATAAAAAAATTCTTTTGAGTCCTATATCTAACTATCTCAATAAAATGGACGGTTTATATTAATTGGACTAGAATGAAAACTTTCTAGAGCATTTTCTCAAATTTTTCTTTCATGTGATTGTTCTTTAGAATGAATAGAGTGTACATTTAAAAATTCATGTCAAACAAATATCTCTAGCATAGTTTTTGAAGATAGTTGCATGATACTACCATACAACCGTTGCGTGAAATCATTCCCCTAAATATTTTCGTCACACCTTTTATGTGATTTTGTTTGCTGTATGTAATGTCCAAAATCAAAACTCAGACTCGAGACTTGGAAGGGTCTTGAGTCTGAATCATCTGTATAGCCTCTGTTGAGTCTGTCAGGGACTCAACTGAGTCAGTACAAGCAATAATACTACTAAAATATAGGAATAGGCCGAGTTTGGGCAGTTCCTACTTAGACTCGGCACCTTGCCAAGTCCAAGTAACACGGACGAGTCGTCTCGCTCGAGTTTTAGAATACTGATTGTGTGTGTTCGTCTGAGTAAGAGAGAGAGAGAGAGAGACCAGCTGCTTGCTGTCCATCGCCGGGTGCCCCACCTGTAGAGGACATTCAGTGATTCATATGTAAGGATGCTTATGTCTTTGTTCAAAAGGCTGAATTTTATCTTTTTCCTTTTTTGGAAAGATACAGTATAAAGGGTGCAGTTGGCATATGGATGCATCCATAGCTGTAAAGGTAAGATGCACTTTCAAATTTTATCATGGTATATAATTTTGATGTAAAATGTTCTTAAGATTATCTCAAAATCTATTTTTATATCTAATTATAAAATTTTAAATTTTAAAAAAAGTTAAAAACAAGTAGATCTATAAACATATAAAAATCTTAAAAATAGATGGTGTAGATAATATGTTATAAAATATACTATTTTTTAGACTTAAATCTTTTTATTTTTCATGGTTATTCATCTCGATGACGAGATGATCAATAAAAAAACTATCTTTTCTGATGGATTTTTGAGGTGCATCCCTCGCTGTAAAGATAAAGTTGCAACCTTATATAAACTTTTCTCAGTATAAAACATGAAGTCCATAATGTATATTCATCGGCAGCCATCAACCGTCCGTTCTAAACATGGATGGTAACGGTGGACATGGACTATAAATCTCCGTGATGGTCTAGAGACTCAGTTTTTTTTTCTTACTATTTTTCTAATATTTTCATCATCTTTGTAAAATATGCCTAGAACCGGTATTCTTTATCTTAGAGGGTAAAATATCACCTAAATATATTTTGTAGGATTTCTTTCATTTGGGAACCTCCCTAGATTACACATCTCCAAAGTAGGTGTTCTAGATGTCGAACCCCGAATAAACAGGAGCATTTTTTTTAACTGAACTCGTTTAATTGGATCGAGCTACATGACATAAAAAGAACTTACTTGTTTAGGATTAATAATCTAGAGTGTTTTCCCATGTTAAAATATCTCATTCCGGGTTCTTAAACCTAACCAAGTAGACCTGTTTATGTCATTTTGGCTTTAGGCAAAGTGTCACAAGTCAAGTGAGGAACAAACCCTTGGGTTGTTTAAGCTTTAGTAAATGGAACTCATTTTTTCTATCACTTGATACACTTGTTTTTGGAAGGCCAACCCTGAAGAGGGAGGCGTAGTATAATTATTTTGAAAATAAAGGTTATACCCCTCCATTTTAAGGGTTAGCAAACTGGAACTCATTTTTTTCTACTAGAAATCTTTGTTCTAAGTTTCTAACCTGAACAAAAATAGGCAATGTTGTTATTTTAGTTGAATTAAGTGCCACGAGCAAAATAATGATGCTACCCCTAGTTGTTCAGGGTTTAAGAAATAGAAACTAGTTCTTTTTTTTCTTTTTTTTTTTTTAATTAGTGACCTTTGTTTTGGGTTTTTCTCGATAAACAAGTAAGAATACTTATATCATTTGACTCGGGGCAGTTGAATTGAGCCCAACTTATTCAAGGTTTTGCATTTGGAAACACGGCGATGTGGGTATTTTCAAAGGAGAGCTCCCTGAATGAAACACATCATGTAAGAGAAACGCTCCAAAGATAAGTTTTTTATTTGACCACCTTAATTATTTTTGAAAAAGTTTGACCCTTTAAGTACTATTGTCCCTTCTTTTTATTTATAATGAATAATTGTGTACTTAGGCATGTTTGGCACGAGTGAAAATACTTTTATGGAAGTATTTTCACATGAAAAACTCCCTCATGTGAATATGTATGAGAGTTTTTTCACATCAATTGGCTGTCAATTAGTATAAAAAAAATGTAGTGGATCCAATTGTGTTAAAAAACTCCCATACCTAATAACATGAGGGAGTTTTCTTATGTGAAAATACTTTCAGAGAAATATTTCAGCACTACCAAACGTGCCCTTAGATATATCTGGTCAAAATAAAAAGTATTTAGAAGTAAATATCATTTTTCTTATCGGGGGTAGATGTAAATTATGATTAGTAGCATACCATTAGATGATGGAGGAGGTGGTGCCCCAAACCCAATTCCCCCACAATCAGCTCCCAAAGAACCTGAAAAGCATAAAAAAAAAACTCAATTCATTAGGAATAATCCATATCAGACACCTCTCTCACATGCACACTCTCTCTACGTGTATGCAAGGAGGTTTGCGGGGCATACATACATTGTTTGAAACAAGGAAGGTTTGATGAACCCAAGAGGTTGGCAGATCCTGGGTTGCATTCGCACACATGACTAGTTTCATCTATCGTCACACATTTTCCTTCTCCACACAACGTGTAAGTACATGCTGCACAATTACAAAACCCCTCATTGTCATAATATAATATCATATAAATAAACAATAAATAGTATTATATAATGCATGAGGATCATATAATAGAGATCATTTACTTTTTGAATAATGATACTATAAAAGCCTCACACACCCATGTGAGTAAGATCTCAAAGGATCACTATTAAATTTTGACATAGATATTTAAAAAAGTTATCAATAAATCCATTCACCCGAGTCTCATACCCATGTGATAACTTTTCTAGAAATCTGTGTCAATATTTAATGGTGATCTTTTGGGGTCCTACTCACATGGGTGTGGGAGGGTCTCATAGAGTCATTACTCTTACTTTTTATTCAAGAAGGTTACAATTATTCATAGTCATTAGATGTAAAACCCAGACGTATTAAGTATCACAGCTTTTGAAATTTTTATTTTGGATTTTGAACCTAATTAATAACACAACCCCAACCACCCAATTTTATATCCAAAAGTCAATAATGATTGTGATCTTTATGTATTAAAGATAAATAGTTTCATAATATACATTTGCTAATGCAATCCACTATCTTACTAATAATATTTGGTGAATAAAGGGCAAGCCCATTTTTGAAAAACAACTAACTACTACTCTCTTTGACTTGATGCACATGCTAAGTCGTGTGCACACGCGTGTTTATAGTTATTTGCTCCTCTAGTACACACCCATGTCATTTGCTCTACATGACTAAAATTTTTCTTAACCTTTCTTTTTGAAATCTCGAAATAAAAATACATGATGCATTTTAAAATCCCATCTTCCCCTTGTTTAAGTGGTCTACATATGTTTCATGCTTGGACGACTTATTTTGAGAAGGGGAATGTATACTGGAGACTATTTATTTTTCATACAAGAAATCATAATCATTTTAGCCGTTAGATTTTAAATCAAGATATTAATGAGTTACAAAATTTGAAAAAAAAATTATTGGGCATTGTACACAATTAATAACACGATTTAAGCTTTTTTGATTTCACATTTTATAGCTAAAGATGACCGTAACCTCCATATTTCAAAACTTTAAAATACAAAAAAAAATATTGAAAAAAATCATAGGGTTGTAGACATTACGGTCCGAAAGGTTGATTGGAGGTGGAAGGATTGGTGGCAAGAGAGAGAAAGGAGGTGGAGGTGCACTTTCCCCACAACCAAGGTCAAGCGTGCCTGCAACAACCATTACCAAAATTCATGGTAAGTAGAGAGAGAGAGAGAGAGTTTACAGTTGGGGATGACATAAAAGAGAGAGAGAGAGAGAGAGAGAGAGAAAGAGTTTACAGTTGGGGATGACACAAGGGAGAAAGCCAACAAGTGTGCCAATCTCAATATTTTTCCATCCAGGAAAACATACACACTTAAAAGGCACCAAAAATTGGTTGGATGCATTGCAGGTCCCTTGACCACAGTCCACCAATTTGCACACACCATCTACGAGATAAAAGAGAAAAAGATCAACACAACCCATTGTAACAAGCCCATATAAAACCAGTACAAAGAGCCATAACTAAATGATACAAAGCTTTCTTTTTTTCAATGTCATATTTGATAGAGAGAAAACAACAGATTTCAAATAGTAGAAAAAAGCCTTTGATGATGATGATAGAGAGAAAACAAAATTTGAGTTTTTATGTACCAATTATGGGGTCACTTTTTGTGGGATGAGAGAGGAGGAGAATCTCAATGAAAAGGAGGGGAAGTAACATGTATTTCAGAGCCATGGTGAGAGAGAATTGGATAGTGAGAGAAAGAATGAATGGTCTGTTTTTTTAGAGAGGAATGAGATGTGAGAAAGGATGAATTGGTCTGATTTTTTTACTCTAAGAGAGAGAGAGGGATATTTATAGGCATGGTTGGGTTTGAATTAAACGAGAAACCCAAGAAATTTTTTATAAGAGTGGCGATGGGATTGAGAAAGAAATAATAGTTTGATTGTGTTCAATGAAAAGGCCAATAAAAAGAACTCATCTATATTTGAATAGAATTTTATTACTAAAAGGAAGCATGGAAAAGAAATATAGTGTATAAAGAATACATATCCTGCCCAAATATTGGAATTTAGCGTTGAAAATCTCCTCTTTTGGACGGTCTGATTATTGTGATATTTTTTTATTTTTTTATGGTAAAGATTATTGTGATTTTTTTTAATTTTTTTTCGGTATTTGATATATGCTTAAGAGAATTTTATGGGTGTAGTTTATATAGAGTTGAGGTTCTAAACTATCAAAGTAAAACGTACTTTCAATTAGTATCGAAAAATGTGGTTTCAATACTAAAAATTTTGGTGATAACCTTAAAATATATTTTTATAACTTACTATAAAATTTAAAGCTTCCAAAATAATGTAAATCAAGCACTGCTATAAAATCTTAAAAGTGTGGCCAAAAAGCTCCTTGATAAAGTGCGTTCTCTAGAAAATGTAGTTGATGGGATTGAACCCTGGCCAGCTGCCCAAGATATAATAATGGCATGAAAAAGTAGTTGTTTGTATTGAACCTTGGCCAGCTGCCCAAGATATAATAATGGCATGAAAAAGTAGAATGGAATGAACATATACATCATCCAAATATAAGAATAGCAAATATAACTTGGGATTAGCGAACCATTGTGCACGAACAGGTGATCCAAATATAAGAATAGCAAATATAACTTGGGGTTAGCTTACCATTGTGCACGAACAGGTGAGCGGTTCGAGAAAGGCATTATTTGAAGTATAACTATGAGCATGAAGATAAGGCAATGACTTCACTGTGGAGTTTACTCGAAAAGTTTAAGATCTCTGTGAACAGTTAAAAACAATTGGCATAAAGACGGAGAATGAGAACCGAGTTGCCATCATCTAAAAAAATCCGAGGGCCGAGTTTGATGCCACATGGGTGTTTCAAAAGTCCAAGCCACCTATAGAAGAGGCCAAATCCAAGGGCCAAGTTTGATGCCACAAGGGTGTTGATTCAAAAGTCCAAACCACCTATGGAACAGGCCATAGACGTGTTGCTTTTAGAGGAAACACTTGGAAGAAAATTGGAGTCAAGTAATAGTTCCAAGAAACGAGACCTTAACTAATACACATAGCAGGTCCCGTGGTAGAGGAACATAACGCGGTCCCGAAAGGACCCAAAACGTAAAAGAATCCAATCATTTTGTGGTAAAGAGAGATTTTCTAGTAGAGATTTCTTATAGAAAGAATTTCTAGTAAAGGCGAGCATTCTTGTGGGGTGTGTGTGTGAGAGAGAGAGAGAGAGAGAGAGAGAGGGAAACAAGAGAGAATAAAATTGGGGCACGAAGAAGCCCGGTTCCCCTCTTGATTTCAATACCAAATTTTCATGGTCCGATTCTGCAGCCTCACCAAAATGGCACCCTTCCATAAATATTACAACAGAACAGTTGAGGAAAGCATTTGTAGCTTCCAAGACATCACAAAGCCCAAAGATGGACTAAAGAAATACTCCATGCAACTCTCTCCCTTTCACAATGCTCTAATGAGGTCTAAGGTCAGGCACCTAATGACACCTCTCTCTCTCCTATGCATACTTGTGGCTTTCAAGACAGCACAAAGCTTAAAGGAGAAAAACAGGTGTACCCGCTGCAACTGTCTCTCACTCACTGTGCATAAAGAGACTGCCCCACTAGGCAGAGCCAAATTCCGAGAACCACTTCTCATGGCGCTCTATATCAGCTGCAGACACGCTTCGCTGAACCTTGGTGAGGGCTTCTTCAAAGTCACACATTGCAACCGGGTCTTTTGATATCTCATCCTTGGACATGTTCTTGATCTCATCCCGAGTCTTCCCTGCAATCTTCCTCCTCATTCCATTTAATGAGGCGTCTCGACACACATTAGTGAGGTCGTCTCCACTATATCCCTCTGTCCTACGAGCAACGTTGTCAATGTTCACATCAGGGGCAACCTATTGACATAAAAGACATGAGAGAAAAGGACTTGGTACATGATAGGCAAATATTTATATAGAGGTACAAGATAATTCAATTATGTTAATTGTGTGTGTGTGTGTGTGAGAGAGAGAGAGAGAGAGTGAGTGAGAGAGAGAGAGAGGAGGTACTA